GTGTGTGTGTGTGTGTGTGTGTGTGTGTGTGTGTTACCTGTTGTGTGACTGCTGTCGTTCAGGTGTGTGTGTAACACTGTTCGATCTCCACTGAATGAACACACTGTAGAAACGGAGCCGCACCACAACCTCAGCACAGACGCTGCACAGACACGAGAACAGAGTGAGTCACGTTTAAATCATCATTTTACTTTGTTACAACTTTAAACACATTTAACACAAAGTCTGTGAACACACACAGATCAACCATCGCCATGACGACACCTTTGTGAGCTAAAGAATCAGTCTGACATCTTGTTCAGCGCCATCTTGGCTTTGTGGAACCAGAAGAAACCATATTTGGAGAAGTGGGGGTGGAGCTTGATGTGAGCTCGAGGACACTCGATTAGACAGTACAAGCTGTCAATCACACTGTGGTATCCACCCCCCCGCCTGGTCTGTTTGACGCTAAATGATCTTAATTGATAAATGAATGTGACGGCGGGGGGTGGTTAGGGCGCCAACTGCTGGACAACAGGGAGCAGTGGCTCAGCCGGTGATCGGACAGCTGTGCAGAATCAGGTGATCAGTAAGAGCAGCCTGGTAACCTGGTTCTGCTCTCTTGCAGTAGTTTGGGCTTCTGATGCGGAAGCGGGACAAGACGAGTACGTGTGGACGTGTGTGTGGGTCCAGAGACCCCAAGTATATGTGTGTGTCTGTAACAGGCCGGTAACGAATAAAGGACCTTGTTGAAACGCCTTCTCTCTCCTCCCGTGTTTACCCGGAGAGGGCCGAGTATTCCCAGAGTGGCACCTGAACAGGGACACACATACAACGTCCTGACCACACCCCGCCCTCACAATGAACATCAGCTGTTTGAAGAAGACTTGAAACTAGAGACTGAGACAAAAACTCCTGAGGACAAAGTTTACTGACGTTATAAAGTGAGAGGAGACGTTTTCTACAGACTTGTTTTTATATAAACACTATGAATCAATTAGAAACGTCTGGTTTGGTCAGAATGTCTTTGTAGCATCGAGGGTCACAAACTGGTTTCGACGGGTTTGATGATGACGTCTTAGGAATCATTGACACATGTATGATTATTTTTGATATGTCTGTATTGGAAATGTTTTACTTCCCAACATTGACATTCATATTGAAATCATCCCCAAAAATCCACATGAGACTCTCGCCCTGAGCTCTTTCTAGTCCATCGACTGAACTGAGTAAACTGTGTTTGACGGCTGCAGGGTTTGTGTAAGACAGGTTCGACCACCGCTGGTTATTAGAGTAACATGAGGAGAGAGCAGCAGCAACCACACTCAGTATTTACACTGTCAACACTGACGCCTCAGTATAAACACAGATAAGACGGAGCAGCAGCTCCAGCTCTGCAACATCATGTTTGACTTTCACCTGAAACTACATTAATGACGGGAAACAGCGTGAAGAGGTCAGAGGTCGAATCAGACTCAGGAGCTGAGAAGCTGTTTTCAGACCTTAACTGAACCACAGACGTGTTCCTGACATGTTCCTCACGTGTTCCTGACATGTTCCTGACATGTTCTGCAGCTTTCCACAGAACAATTTATACGTCATGTCCCGCCTCCTGCTGCTCTACAGGCTCCGCCCCTCGCCTGAATGTCCCCCACATGTTCCTGTTGTTGTGAACGAGTCGACAATCTGCTGCTTCACACA